CCGGAGAACAGAGGATTAAACAGTCAGGAGGGAGGCCCCAACGGATCCACGCCAAAAGACAAACGGAGACTCAGCAGAACCAGCGGAGGCAGCAGGAGGGCGGATGACCTCTCCGTTTAGGGCCATTGGGAGTAAAGGAGACTAAACAATGTCTAAAATCGTTTTAGGAACTGAACTGAACTGAACTGAACTAAGTAAATCATAACGACGAAGAGCTGGAGGAATCGGAGTTTACAGATGGATCAAAAACACCCAATGTGCCCTGAAATAAATCTGATAAAATCAACGAAAGCAGAATATCAGGATTCGATAATCCACAAAGACACAATTTATGATGTTAAAGATGCAAATGTTCATTCAATTTCAACCTGATGCCTGAAACAGGGTCTGTTCCGGTGGGATTTGTTCAACTGGATCCATGTCAGGTCAAAGATTTGTACAAGCCCACTGCAAGGCAAGTGGGAATAAAGGAGACTAGAACGATGTCTAAAAACTAAATATCAAGGGATATTTTTAGACTAAATCTAAAAATATGCAAATGATCTCTCTGTTTAGCAAACCACAACGACGAAGAGCCGGAAGAATCGGAGTTTACAGATGGATCACAAACACCAAATGCGTTCCAATTTATGCCCTGAAATAAATCCAGTAAAATCAACAGATTAGGATTCAATAATCCACAAAGATTTGTACAAACCCACTGCAAGGCCAGTGGGAATAAACAAGACTAGAACGATGTCTAAAAACTAAATATCAAGGGATATTTTAAGACTAAATCGTAAAACTAAATCTAAAAATATGCAGACGATCTCTCCATTTAGGGAGGAACTGAACTGGACTAAGCAACTCATAACGACGAAGAGCTGGAGGAATCTGAGTTCACAGAAGGATCAAAAACACCCAATGTGCCCTGAAATAAATCCGTTAAAATCAACAGATTAGGATTCAATAATGGAAGGCCAGTAGGAGTAAAGGAGACTAGAACAATGTCTAAAAACTAAATATCAAGGGATATTTTTAGACTAAATCTAAAAATATGGATCAAAAACACCTAACTAACCACTTAGACTAAATCTAAAAATATGCAGATGATCTCTCCGTTTAGGGAGGAACTGAACTGGACTAAGCAACTCATAACGACGAAGAGCCGGAGGAATCTGAGTTTACAGAAGGATCAAAAACACCCAATGTGCTCCACCCAATGTGCCCTGAAATAAATCCAGTAAAATCAACACAATATTAGGATTCAATAATCCACAAAGATTTGTACAACACCACTGGAAGGCCAGTGGGAATAAAGGAGACTAGAACAATGTCTAAAAACTAAATATCAAGGGATATTTTTAGACTAAAGCTAAAAACTAAATCTAAAAATATGCACATGGTCTCTCCGTTTAGGGGCAAACTGAACTGGAATAAGCAACTCATAACGACGAAGAGCCGGAGGAATCTGAGTTTACAGATGGATCAAAAACACCCAATGTGCCCTGAAATAAATCCGGTAAAATCAACAGATTAGGATTCAATAATCCACAAAGATTTGTACAAGGCAAGTGGGAATAAACGAGACTAGAACGATGTCTAAAAACTAAATATCAAGGGATATTTTTAGACTAAATCTAAAAACTAAAATATGCCGACGATCTCTCCGTTTAGGGGCAAAGGACTCACCTGTTGGCTGAACTAAGCAACTCATATTGACAAAGAACCGGACGAATCTGAGTTTACAGATGGATCAAAAACACCCAATGTGTTTCAATTCTGAAATAAATCCCGTAAAATCAACAGAAAATTAGGATTCAATAATCCACAAAGACACAATTTCTGATGTTAAAGATGCAAATGTTCATTCAATTTCAGCCTGATGCCTGAAACTGTTCCAGTTGGATTTGTTAAACTGGATCCATGTCAGGTCAAAGTTCAACCAAGGAACCATCCAAAGATTTGAACAAGGCCAGTGGGAATAAAGGAGACTAGAACGATGTCTAAAAACTAAAGATTAAGGAATATTTTTAGACTGAATCTGACATCAGTGACCTCATTCTGGTTAACCTTTGCAGAAAGCTCATTTAAATACTTAGAAATTGTTCATTTCGAACTCAGGGTCTATTTTGGAGGGTGTTATACGACTATAAGAATAGCTTTTGTCACTTTTTATTCCAAATATCTCATTCTTTTGTGTGTTTGGTGTTGCCATTTTGCACAGCCAACAGCTAAAAATAAAATTAAAAAACAACAGTTGTCTTCCTGTCGAGGTTTTAGAGGTTTTAGAGGTTTCCCTGCTTCCAGACTCCGGATTCAGAAGGACCGGACCTCCTCTAACGATGGCTAAACTCAGAGTTTCATAAGAATAAAAGTATTTTCCAGTTAAACTGGTGTAAATCCCGTCACATCAGTAAGATGTGGTGCCGTTGGGGGCTGTTTGTCTCTACTTGAATTTAACTTAAAATACCTAAAGGGGTCTGGGAGAGCTTCCTGAATTCAACCAGGTTTATCTACAGTGGGGGAAATAAGTATTTGACCCCTTGCTGATTTTGCAGGTTTGCCCACTTACAAATAATGCAACGATCTATAACTTTAATCATATGCACATTCTAACAGTGAAAGACAGAATCCCAAAGAAAATTCCAGAAAATCACATAATAGTAATTTATAAAAATTGATAACCATCTGATGAGGAAAAATAAGCATTCTTTATAAGTGGGCAAACCTGCTAAATCGGCAAGGGGTCAAATACTTATTTCCCTCACTGTAAGTATTATTTGAGGATACAGGAAGTTAGAAAAAAGCCCATGGACCTTGATATGATTTAATTTTCTGTTTCCAGCCTTTTTAATCTGGGAGTCAAAGCCCTGAAATCTGCTGTAAGTCGCTTTATTTTTGCTCCATAACTGAGAGTCAAACCCGGGTTTGTTCGATCTGTAACTGTTTTCAGCCACTCCGGATTCTGTCAGATGGATTTTTATTTCCTTTATCTTGTGCTAATTACT